TGGGTGGATATGGACTGGCCAGTGTGGACCAATAGTTACTGTTTTCCACTTATAAATGGAGGTGGGTGGTGTGATGGTGGTGGGGGAGGTGATGGTAGGTGAGGTGATGGTGGTGGTGGTGGATGGTGGTGGGGAGGTGATGGTGGTGGTGGTGGTGGGGGAGGTGATGGTGGTGGGATGTGATGGTGGTGGGAGGATGGTGGGTGGGGTGATGGTGGGGAGGTGAGTCACTGGGGAGACTAGTGGGATAGGGATGAAGAGGAGAGGGGGGTGAGAAGTTAGGGGAGAGGTGAAGACAGCGCGAGGAAGGAGGGGAGAAATGTAGGAGGAGAAAGAAGAGGGGTAGAAGGGGAGGGAGGGAGAGGAGGGTAGAAGGGAGGGATCACCGCTGAGCCTGCCTTTAGTGGGCTGGTCACGTCCCAAGTTCTCACCCATACGTACACACCTACATACATCACCCATACGTACACACCTACATACATCACCCATACGTACACACACACATACATCACCCATACGTACATATATACACCACCCATACGTACACACATACATACATCACCCATACGTACACACATACATACATCACCCATACGTACACACATACATACACCACCCATACGTACATATAGAAGTTATCGCTATTTGACAATTATCTCCCTAATTCTTAAACTAGATCTGTTTCTAGAGCTGATATCATTTCATCCATCAATGCGGATCTGTGCAGCATCTCTGAATGGGGAGGTGGAAACTTGGTTAAATTCAATAGTAACAAAACTCAATATTTACCAATTACACTTTGTAAATTAGATGGTCTCCCACCAATCACATTTCAGGACGCTATCATCCTGCCAAATTCTAAAACAAATTTGCTAGGTCTCACCATTTCCTCTAATATGTCATGGAAGCCACACATCCTCAACATTGCTAAAGCTGTACAGATGCCGTAGCTACTTCACTCCTGAGCAGTTAGATAGGGTGGAATCAAAGGCATTTCGTCTTATTAACTCTCCTCCTTTAGTTGATAATCTTTCTTCCCTTTCTCTTCCCCACAATGTTGCTTCACTTCTCTTCTACAGGTACTTAACGGGCAATGTTCGTTGATTTGGCATCCTGTGTACCGCGCAAGGGCGTGGGCTCGTAAATATAAGAACATAAGAAAATAAGTAGTATGCATGGCAGCCCCTGTCGAGAGTTACTACCACTCCATCATCCATGAATCTATCTAGCCTCCTTTTAAAAATTTCCAGCGTTCCAGCACTTACTACAAAGTTGCTGCTTGTTCCACTCGTCCACCAATTCATTTGTGAACCAGTTCCTTCCATTCCTCCAAACCTAAACTTATCCAACTTAAATCCGTTGCTACGAGTCCTATCCTGCTCGGATATTATAAGAACTTTATCTATATCCCTTTATTGATTCATTTCACCCACTTAAATATTTCTATCATATTTCCCCGCACTCTTCGTCTTTCTAGAGAATGCAAGTTTAGTTTTTAACCTATCTTGATATGGAAGGTTTAAGTCCCTGAATCATTTTCGTCATTCTTCGCTGCACCGACTCTAGTGAATTGATATCCATTCTATAATAAGGGCACCAGAACTGAACCGCATAATCGAGGTGCGGCCTGACTAGCGTAAGATATAGTTGCAATAAGACCTCTGCACTCTTATTACTTACACTTTAGATATAAAACCCAATACTCTGCTTCTGCCTTATTTCGAACATTAACGCACTGTTTTCGAGCCGTAGGTCCGCTTACAAGTACCCCAAGTCTCTTTCACAAGTCGACTTTCTAGGTTGATGTTAAGGCTGTATACATTGACAGTATTTGTTCTTCCACATATAACGCTGCACTTGCTGGTGTTGAATTTCATTTGCCATTTTTCGACCACCCTGCAGTTTATTTTAAATCCTCCTGTAGTGCATTTGCATCCTGCCCTGAATTAATCTGCTGCCCTATTTGGTGTCATCCAAACTTGCTTTATGTCACTGCTGATTCCAGTATCTAGATCGTTTATGTAGATTACGAACAAGAGTGGGCCTAGTACTGACCCCTGGGGAACCCCACTGGTTACACGGCCCCACCCAGATTTAACACCATCTACGCGACTCTGTGTTCTATCGGTGAGCCATGATTTATCCAATTTAAAACTCCCTCGATACCATGAGCCTTAATTTTTCTCAGAAGCCTCTGATGCGGTATCGTCAAAACGCTTTCGCTAAAGTCTAAGTAAATAACATCACTTGTCATTATCTACTACCTGAAGACTTTTCTAAAACGTCAGCAGATTTGTTGGACAAGATTTTCCTTTGTAAACCCGTGTTGAGAGTAGTAGATTAATTTGTTTTCTAAATGTGATCGGATGCTATTTGCTATAATTGATTCAAGAAATTTCCCCACTACTGACGTTCAATCGGTTGGTAATTGACGCTGATGCTCTGTCTCTTCTTGAATATGGGCACTACATTTGCCTGTTTCCACAAGTCTGGCACAACTCCCTGTGTCTAATGATTTTGAAACAAATTACGGAGGGTCCGCGATCTGTTCCTTTACACACTTTCAAACTCGAGGAAAAATTTCATCCGGCCCTGGGGATTTTGCGTTCTTTAGTTTATTTATCTTCTTAAGAACATCCCTTCTGATAGTGATATTCTTTAATTTCTTCTTCATTTCTAAAATTGTTCCAATTCTCTGAACTGTATCCATGGATGTTTATGGTCACACTAGAATAACCCGTTATAGTACATTCTTCTTTCCTCACATAAGCAAACCCAGTTGCTCTTTCTTCTGAAGTTACAATCTGTCTCACTTCATAAAGCGGTCTTCATCTTGTGGTCGATGATAGTTTTTTTATTCAGTCCTTTGAAGGCCTGATGACCTGCTGCTACCATCACTACATCACAATCATCACCTACACCATCATTACATCACAACCACCACCACCATCACTACATCACAACCACCGCAATCATCACCACCACCATCACTACATCACAACCATCACAATTATCACTACTACCACCACTACCTCACAACCACCACAATCATCACTATTACTACCTCTACACCACAATCACCACTACATCACAACAACCACAAATCACCACATACAATCACCACTACTAAACCACCAAATCACACATACTAACTCTACAACAATCACCACTAAAAACCACCACAACAATACTACCACCACTACATTACAACCACCACAATCATCACTACACATTAACTCTACACCACAATCACCACTACATCACAACCACCACAATCACCACTACTACCACCACTACATTACAACCACCACAATCATCACTATTACTAACTCTACACCACAATCACCACTACATCACAACAACCACAATCACCACTACTACCACCACTACATCGCAACCACCACAATCATCACTACACCACAACCACCACAATTATTATTACTACTACCACTACACCACAATCATCACTACATCACAAACCACCAGTCACCACTACACAAACACCACAATCATCACTACTACCACCACCACACTACACTCACCACCACAACTCATCACAATACATCACAACCACCACAACATCATCACTACCGCCGCCACTACACCACAATCATCACTACTACCACCACTACACCACAATCATCACTACTACCACCACTACACCAAAATCATCACTACTACCACCACTACACTACACCACCACAATCATCACTACTACATCACAACCACCACAATCAATACTACCACCACTACACCACACAATCATCACTACCGCCACCACCACACCACAATCATCACTACTACCACCACTCACACACCACAATCATCACCTACTACCACCACTACACCACAATCATCACTACTGCCAATACCACACCACAATCATCACCACTACCAATTAACTACACCACAATCATCACCATTACCACCACCACACCACAATCATCACTACTACCACCACTACACCACAATCATCACTACTGCCACCACTACACACAATCATCACTACTACAAATCACCACACCACAATCATCACTACTACCACCACTACAACTAATAACTACCACCACTACAACCAACAACCATCATTACTACCACCACCACACCACTCATCACTACTACATCACAACCACCAAATCATCACTACCACCCACCTTACACCACAATCATCACTACTACCACCACCACGCTAACTACCACCACTACAATCATCACTACTACATCACAACCACCATAATCACTACTCTTACTACCACCACTACACCACAATCATCACTACTACCACCAAACACCACAATCATCACTACTACCACCACTACACCAATCATTACCACTACCACCACCACACTACACTCACCACCACAAATCACTACTACATCACAACCACCACAATCATCACTACTACATCACAACCACCACATTCATCACTACATCACAACCACCACAATCATCACTACTACATCACAACCATCACTACTACATCACAACCACCACAATCATCACTACTACATCACAACCAATCACATCACTACCACTCACAATCACCAACTATCACTACTACATCACAACCACCACATTCATCACTACATCACAACCACCACAATCATCACTACATCACAACCACCACATTCATCACTACATCACAACCACCACAATCATCACTACACTACAATCATCACATCACCACCACAATCATCACTACTACATCACAACCACCACTATCATCACTACACTACAATCATCACATCACCACCACAATCAGAGGTAGAATTCCTGTTTGCCTTTGTTTGAACAAGGGTAAACTTACTATACAGTTTATTGATAAAGGAATTAATTGTTAACTATTGTTTATATACAATAAGATAAAGCTGCAACATGTCACATAAAATGAAATGGGATCTAAAAGCCATGTGGAAAAGGAAGTGATTAAATGTTTGCTTGTGGCGATTATGACGATACCGATGAGCCGCCCAGGAAGAAAAAAGCCAAAGCGGAACAGGATGGCCACAAGGATAAAAAAGATGGCCACAAGGATAAAAAAGATGGCCACAAGGATAGAAAAGATGGCCACAAGGATAAAAAAGATGGTTAAAAGGATAAAAAAGATGGCCACAAGGATGAAAAGAGATGGCCACAAGGATAAAAAAGATGGCCACAAGGATAGAAAAGATGGCCACAAGGATAAAAAAGATGGCCACGAAGATAAAAAAGATGGTCACGATAAAGCAGAGAAGCGCCATGCAGACACGAACGGTGGCGACGAAGCGGTGCGCAAGATGTTCATTTTATCGAGTAATAGTGACGATCAAAGTTCCGAGGAGAGGAAGGCTCAGAAGAAGGAGAGATAAGACTGGAGGGAACAAAGAGCCAAGGGCGAGGCAACACTAACTCCGGCACCTTCAGTCTCCTGTGCGAAGAAGGGTTGATGAAGGGCTGCTACCAGGAATTCTAGCTGGCAAGGCTCGGGGGAAAGTCTAAAAGACCCTAGATAGCATACTAAAACTCAACAAGAACCTGAGGGCCTTTCAGAGAGCCGCCCAGCTAGACATGATCTGCCCCAACTAATAATGAGAGAATTAGATTTGAGTTCTGGGACAGACGTTGGGTCGGCTCCTTGGTCTAGTGGCGCCAGGCTCAAGACCAGGTTTAAGAACGCACTCGCTGATCTGGGGAAAGAGCGTTCACAAATCTCTGCTGATTTCATCGTCAACGACTATTAAAAACAACTGAAGACCGAACAAAAATCATGTCCATCTGGGTTGTCGCCCCGAGGTGTTTAGGTTTCACTCAGAAGGCTTCCCACGGAGGGACGAGAACCCCAGCTGTAAGATCATAAAGGATAAGCTGGCAGATTAAAGGTTTGAGGAGCTTTAATGGACCCCCTAGAGAGCCCACCAAGGTTTGACACTTATGGATGTGGGTGGGATGGGAAGTTAGTCCCAGACTTGATGCAGTAGAGACGAAGTGGTTGGTAACACCTGGTACCTGGTGATACCGTCTACCAAGCCCAGGAAACTCATCAAAGTAGTACCAACCATATAGGAGGAGCTGACACCGAGCCTGCCTTTTCACTAAGTTATCGGCCAAATACGATAAAGGTGAACCCGAAAAGAAAGGAAGAACATAGGCGAAGCGTCTGCCGGGGAGGAACCAAGGAGCAAACTGAAAGAAAAAACATATGAGGAGGAGGAGGGTGATGGTAAGTCCTCGTCTTCACTTAATGGCGCCAACGTTCCGGCGGCTTGTATCATAGCCACAGAACAAAATTATTTTATAAAATCACTATATTTCAATCACACGTATTTTCCTTTGTACAAAAGTGTACTGTACTATATGTGTTGAGATATTTTTGTTGTATTATATGTTCATTAACCTTAACGTTTTGATCACACTCAAACACTCCATACACAAGTTTGAACATTTATAACAAATTTGGGCCAAACTTATTTCTTCACGTTAGTACTTATATGATTTAACATCAAATTTTGTTGTTTTATCACAAAGTTTGACAAATATGTCTGAAGAGGAAGAGCCTCAGGTCTGACCCACTGCTTCCCAAACTCAGGGTGAGGGCGTGACTGTGGGAGTTGGAACTTATTTATTGTTTTATTTTTTTTTACGGAAATTACCCACCCAGGCACAGGTCACTGACCCAATATCAGCCTGGGGCGGTGTATTTAGTAGTAGTAGCAATAATAATAATATTAATAATAATAATAATAATAATAATAATAATAATATAATAATATTAACAATAATTAATAATTTATAGTAAAATAAAAATTTATAATAAAAAACAAAATTGAAAATAAAAATAATAATAATAATGATAATAATAATAACAACACTTGTAATAATAATAATAATAATAAAGAACCAAAGAAATAAAACAAAAAATGAAAAGAGAAAATCAAGAGGAGAAACAATATATATGTGTTGTCAAAGTAAGAGAAACAATTATGACCCTGGTACTTTATTATTGAAGAACAAATATTGTCAATGTATACAGCCTCAACAACATCAACCAGAGAAGTCGACTTAGAAAGAGACTTAGGGGTACATGTAAGCCCGGACCCACGCCCAGAAAAAAAACAGTGCGTTAATGTTCGAAATAAGGCAAACAGAGTATTGGGTTTTATATCTAGAAGTGTAAGTAACAAGAGTGAGAGGTTCAGCTCAGTGAACTATATTCAAGTTAGTCAGGCTGCACCTCGATTATGCGGTTCAGTTCTAAAACTTTATTATAGAATGGATATCAATTCACTGAGTCGGTGCAACGAAGAATGACAAAAAATGATTCCGGGACTTAGAAACCTTCCATACTCAGGATAGGTTAAAGAAAACCTAACTTGCATTTCCTAGAAAGACGAAGAGGGAGAGATATAGAAGTATTTAAGAGGGTGAAAGGAATCAATAAAGGAGATATAGATAAAGTTTTATAATATCCGAGCAAGATAGACCTGGCAACGATTTAAGTTGATAAGTTTAGTTTAGGAGGAGATAGGAAGAAAGTTGTTAAAAATAGGTGGTGGACGAGGAACAAGCTTAGCAACTTTGCTGGAACGCTGGAAAGTTTCAAAGGAGTTGATAGATTCATGGATGATAGAGAGTGGTAGTAACTCTCGACAGAGCTGACAGGACACAAACGACCTATTGCAGACTCCTATTTTCTTATGTTCTCAATTGTGTAAACGAGGCAGAAGCTAGATCATCAACCTGGGATTCATTGTTATACAAGTAGCCAAGGTGGTTGAGGGGTTACTAATCATCAGGTAAATAAGGTGGTTGAGGGGTTACTAATCATCAGGTGAAATAAGGTGATTGAGGGGAATAATCAACAGGTGAAACAAGGTGGTTGAGGGGGGTAAGAAATCATCAGGTGAAATAAGGTGGTTGAGGGGGTTACTAATCATCAGGTGAAATAAGGTGATTGAGGGTAGCCAATCATCAGGTGAAATAAGGTGGTTGAGGGTTACTAATCATCAGGTGAAATAAGTGAGAGGGCAACTAATCACCAGGAGAAAGGAGATTGAGGGTTACTAATCACTGGTGAAATAAGGTGGTTGAGGGGTTACTAATCATCAGGTGAAATAAGGTGATTGAGGGCTACTAATCAAGGTGAAATAATGCATTCAGTATTAACATCAGTGTTGCCCAGATCACCTGAGCCAGTCCAGCAAAAAAACACCAGAGACTGCACATAGTTTCATTATCACTAAAAGGTTTCATATCACACAATCAGCTTTTGTTATTCAGAATGTCAGCAAACATTTACTTATAAAGATGGACCTGTTATCATAAAAGTAACAGATTATCTTACTTAAGGCTTACTTATCAACACAGGCTATGAGAGAGGTGAGGGAAGGTGAGGTGAAGGAGGGAGGAGGAGAGAGAGGAGAAAACACCACCATTAATAACCAACAGGTGATAACAGAGGCGCCGGGTTGTCTAGTGGTGGCTCTATCCCCAGGCCTTCCCTCTCACCTCCCCCACCCCTCTCTCCCCACCCCTCTCTCCCCACCCTCCCCACCCCCTCTCCCCACCTTCCCCACCCCCACCCCCACCCCATCACCCCCCACTCTCTTCCCACCCTCTCTCTCCCCTGCCTCCCCACCCTCTCTCTCCCCACCTCCCCACCCTCTCTCCCACCTTCCCCACCCCCACTCCCACCTCCACCCCCACCTCTCCCCACCCTCTCCCCACCTCCCTCACCCTCCCCACCTTCCCACCTCCCACCTACCTCACCCCACCTCCCACCTTCATCACCCCCACTCTTCCCCACCCTCCCCACACCTCCCCCACCCTCCCACCCTCACCTCCCCACCTCCCCACCCCTCACCTCCCACCTCATCAACCCCTACACTCTCCCCACCCTCTCCCCCACCCTCCCACCCTCCTCCTACCATCACACTCTCCCACCTCCCCACCCTTCCCAACCTCATCAACCCCACCCCTCCCACCCCCTCATCTACCTTCCTCACTTCACTCTTTCCCCACACTCACCCAATCTAACCAACCAACCATCACACATCAAACTTATTCTTCTTCACAGTGAACCCTCTCCCCCCCCAGTATAAAACAAGTAACATCAACGTATATAAATTCAAATGAACCCAGTCACTATAATACAACAGAATATCACTTTAGAACATTTCAGTGGCACCCGCCCCTATCAAATCTAAAAGATTACCAGTGATACTTGCGCCACGATCACCAGTGTAACTAAAGAATAATAGATTATTATTCCAGTGGTTCCCGATACCCCCCCTGCCGTCACCAATAAGTAAAGAAAAAGAACATCACGTTATATAAATTCAGTGTTACCCGTCACAAACATAAACACTAAGAAACTACTCATCAAATGTTATAACATCAACACCAGACGACCCCACATATAAAACCCGCCAGTGATGTATATGTACATTAAAGTCACACAGCAGGACACACACACACACACACACACACTTATACATAAACACACACACACACACAACACACAAACATACCACCACACACACATACATACACGCCAAAATTACGCTCCAAAAACACTATTTCACACAAACCGTAGCCGTCGAGCCATCACTCCCTCCAAAAGATTATCCCCCCTCCATATGTGCTATTAACTCCTATTACTAACTTCCATTACTCATAACTGCCCGCCAATATGTAATTTAGATTTGTGAAAATGGTGACCAGTTGTGTGGGGTAAAGATGTGGGGAGGGAAGGGGGAACGGTAATGGGGAGGGAGAGAGTCAGGGAGAAGACAAGAGAAGGAGAGAGAGAGGCAAGTGAGGGAAAAGGAGGGGGAGAGAGGGAGGTGAGGTATATCGCTGCAGGTCCACACGAGAATGGGATGAGATAAGAGAGAGAGAGAGAGAGAGAGAGAGAGAGATAAGAAGGATAGAGATAAGATAACAAGATAAGATAGTGAAGTAGAGGGTGAGTGAGGCGACCAAAGATAACGTGTTATCCTGCTCAGTGAGTCATGATAACAGCTGATGCTTGCTGCGCGCAGAGATAAACCAAGAGGTGAGAGAGCAGTGAGGCAAGAGGTGGTATGGGGGTTAGGTGTGCTGGAGCTAGTTAGGCTAGCCTAGATCACCCGCCCAACACAACCCGATCTACCCATGTCTTCAACAGCCAATGAACACCCGTCTCTTACCTGTTACATAGTCCAGGTGAGGCGACACAGAAGTTTCCTCCACCTACACAGTTCCGTCAAAAACTCTAGTAAACCATTTCACTCTACCTGCCTGTTGTTGTTGCGTCAACCTAACCTTGGAGGCAGCATTGGGTCAGCTGTGTTTTAGGAGACGCAAACTGAGAACTAATCTTCAGAGACCC